CAGTCGGAGACGTCTCCACACGCGCTGCGGTTGTAAGAACTCGTTCCGGATTTAATAGACCACCTGAACAAACAGCAACAGACCACATTGGCACATATTGATAACAAAGTTAGCGAGCTTAGCAACACGTTGGCAAATTTTTCTAGATTTTTCAAACAACTCACATCTGGCGATGCTGCTGTGCGCTTGTCTGTCAATTGGGGATGCCTCACCGTAGTTGCATCTTCCTCTGAAACTTCGGTAGCCTACAACGAGTCGCTACCTTCAACTTACAATGTGTCGCGGAGCCTTAAAACAGTCAACCGCGCATGGAGCCGTGGCGTGTATGGCGGGCCCGCTGTGCGAGCACTCGAAGAGCGGTATGGCTCCTCGTGGCGAAACTCGCCAGCAGAGAACCGTTTCTACTTCAGACGCAAACGAATCATCGATAAAGTCATTGTAGTTCCTCGCATCCAGCAGATTAGCAGCGAAAGTCGAAATTTTAGAGAAACATCGTCTCGAATGCCACCTTACGCTAAATGCACTGAGTGAGCGCCTCGGTAGTAAAGAGTAGGTTCTAGCACACGATCTTCATATACTTTAACATTTGTAATATTTGTTTGTCATACACAATAAGAATATAACTTACTGATCTGTACCTTGTCAAGCTCTATGACGTTTTCCTTTTTGCTGAGCCACACCGTGCTTCCATTGAGCAACACATCAGCGTCCGTAAGCCTCAGGCCGTCTATAGGAGCCGCAGCGCTAGCCCATGATGGCCCATTGACCTAGGTAATAGCGGCCACCGGCAAGACGGCGTCCGTCGACATGGCCCTGGATATGGCCAGTGAGATGTAGCACAGCGTTGCCCTCAACCAGGACGGCTCGGCAAACAGCAAGACGCCGTCAACGTGGCACAGAACAGCCCGGCTAGGTGCAGCACAGCGTTGCATCAACCGGGAGGGCTCGGCAAACAGCAAGATGCCATCAACGTTGTGCACGACGGCCAGACAAGCTGCAAAGCGCCGTCAACGGTGCGCAGAATGGACCGGCAAGATGGGTCGGGCGATTGTTTTCCGAACTGCTCTGCCAATTTTTTTTTTTTGGCCACGTGTTAGAGGATTTTTGAATGAAGCGTCTGCTTTTGTTATTTTTGCTATCAGGTGGACGAGAAGATGACAGGAACGGTGCAATAGAGGGACGAGATTCCGATAATTACGTATATCGTGTCGATAGTCCTTGAAATCAAAGCAATCTCTAGCTAGAGCCGAATGGCTGGGTGATCAGAGGAACCAAGCTAATCTTCATTGGGTGTGGCAAAGATGGTGACTATGGTTTGCAGTGCGGTAGGTTATGGTCTGAAGTACATCGAAAAGCGAGTGGCCTGTCTAATAGTTAGCCAGATCGTAGCTTAGCGCTACAAGTTCTTAATCATGTAGGAGGGAGGGGCTTTTTCCGGAGGAAGTATAGGGGGTTTATCGAGTAGATTTGAAAAAGCGGTTTATTGAGGCTATTTCTGTAGCTGAAAAGGTGCTACCGTAAAACTTATGTGCAAACGGACGTTGGCTTTTTACAGACAGTTATGAACAACTAATCAAACGCAAGTAATTTGTTTACTCTGGTTTTCGATTGGCTAGAAATAGTCCAGGATAGATCTGGGCTGACCGGATGCACATAAGTTCTCCGGTACTCCAAACATGCCCTCCGCGCCACCCTGTGCTCCGATCAGAGCGACTTCCGCTTCCCCACGCCTCCAAGAGCCACTTGGAGGGGCGTAGTGCTGGGAAAAACGATGGTAACGGGCGAACAACGGTTGACGAAACTACCACTGCCAACTGCAGCCTCATCCCCACCGTCACCACCATTCTCTCCCTCGCCCCCCACCACTGCCTGTTGAGATACCGTCACTACCATCTCTGGCTGCTAAACTTCCCCTACC